AGCTTGGACCATTATTTGTACTATCAATTGTCATATAACTGTTAATCAAACAAATAGAAATAGTCATTTGTGATTATATAGTTTTATTGTTGTCATGACACATCTTTTCACTGACTATATTGTACATCAACTTGATATGGCTCCTTATATTCGAATGGTCTTTCCAAATATGGACTAAATCTATGACAATATATTCTTATTACTTCATGAATTTGTGAATTTCTTTTAATTTTGGTTGCAATTTACCTAATTAGAATTCAATATGGTACAAACAAAATTCGTGTACCATTGATAATTATGATATCAATGCATTTAATGAACTATCCAGGCTTTTTTTTTAAAGATATTCCATATACATTAGGCAAAATGTTTCAGAATCATCAACTGCTTTTATATTTAAGTGTTAGTATAACATTTATTGGAATTTACCTTCTATCTACTTTATTTATCAGCCGATATTTCGATAAAGATGAAAAAAGAATAGAACTTTGAATCTATCTATACTTAATTTACTTCAACTTAAGACTTTGACATTGCTTTGTATATCTAAGTATATCAATAAGTTTATTGTTGTCTATGGTCTCTAAACAAAGAATAAATCGGTTAAAGAAAAAAATAATAAAATTTGCTTCAAATAGATTGTATAAATAATAAAAATGATGTAGTCCCAAAGAAAAGTATAGCTATCCCTCATGAAGTGCTACTGTTTTTGATGATATTGAGCTGATATATTGGGTGCATGTGTGTGATAATAAACTCTGATTGGAAGCACTAACCTGCATTTCGTCGGTTCACTCATAGGCACTACAGTTATGATTCACATATCATCTTTCTCTTGTGATCACCTTATCTTAACTATGCTGACAATAATGTTTTCGTCCAACACTTCATTCGAAAGCTCACTGTTGTAGCTATCTTTAGTTCGAATTTTGTTAGAAATCACTTGAAAATAACTGATGTGAGATATTGTCTTCTCATTAAGAATGTCTGTTGAAAAGCAAATACTAATTTATAGAAAGATGAAGTTTTTTCATGATGACTTTGATCAACTCATTTGAAAATTTTAATAGAAAGTTTTCATGAGACAATGATTCTGTTCTGAAAGTTTTAGAGTTGCAGCACTGAATGAAGTTGAATCACAACTATGACAAGGATGCATTATCTCAGAGTGTACTAATCACTAAGATCTGCACTATATATCACAAGCTTTGATAGCAACAAAGCTTGTGACATATGAGACTGCTTTCAGCATTATAAAAAAAAACAATAGTACCTTGTAGAATAGTACTACGACAAACAAAAATTTTATAAATACATATTTCTTCTGGATATGTTTTCCACAAGAGGAAGATGATGTTTGAATCATAATTCTAGTATATTTTATCCAATCAAAGATAGGTTAGTGTTTATGATCAAGGATTATTCTCACACATATGCATCCAAAATATCAGTTCCATTTCATTGAGAATAGTAGTACTTGATGAGAAGCAACAACTTTTGTACAGCACTGTATATCAAAATGAAATTTTAAAGTTTGAAGAAAATTGTTTTACTATATGTTATCAGTTTTTAGGAATAATGAAGGTTAAAAATTTTCACGATTTGCAGTAAATGACAAAGAAAAACTATCTATAAAAATAATTTTTAAAATTAATAGAGATAAAACCATAAAGTAAATAGAAGACGAAAATTGGATAACAAATATTAACAATAAATAAAGTAGATTTGATTTTTATTTAGACAATTTACAAAAACATAGAATACTTGTTTTAATGAGTTACAGAAGAGTAATTTCACAAAAATATTTCGTTCATTTCTTAGTCTCTTAAGAGAGCCTGCAGAAATTCGAAAACATTCAGTTTGTATCAGAATTTTGTATTCTTTTTGAATATGACTTCAAAATTTTTGTAGGACTTCTGATTCAAGAATTATGAGCTGACGTTTTCGAGATCTCTAACTTGAGTTTGAATGAGCTTCAGCGCGCCAAAACTTAAGCAAAAATTATTTCACATACAGTAGATGAAAGAGCAAACATTCCTCTATGAAATAGTATACTAATGAGTAGTTTATTGCAAGTGATTAGTTAACAATGATTATTTTGATAAGGTACACTGCCAATTTTCTCGATTTCTCCGAAGAATAGACTTATAAAGTGAGCTTAGACATTCCTGAATGATTGCTCTGAAACTCTTAGTTTTTATATCACTTTGTAAAGAATAATCTGACTTTTGAGTCTATGTCAAAAATAGGTAATATAATGTATGTAGACAACGAGACTCTTGCTTACAAAAAAGTGTCAGTTTTCTCCGTCGAAACTTAATTTTTTCATGCCTCTAAAATATTGACTCATAACTCTTAAAACAGAACTCCTAGACAAATATTGAATCTGCATTCAGAAATAATACAAAATCAATATTTTTCAAATTTGTTTAGGCTCCTTGAAGAAGCTGAAAAATGAACGAACATTGTGTTAAATTACCTTTTGATAATCTGTTACAATACAAAACATTACTCTTTATTTATTACAAGTCTACATTATTGTTTATTTTATTTTTGAGAATATCTAAAATAAATTTTATTTGTTACATATTTGTTTTTATGTAAATAAATACTAATATACAAAGATATATTTCTAAAGACTTTTAAAATGTTTGCAGTTCTATTTCCATTCAAATATTTATTTATTAAAAATGAAAAGAACACACTTATCATATATTAACTAATATTGATTTTTGTAGCTTTATTCATACTCTAGTGGAACATCTTGTAAACAAGAGTTTGGCCAAAATACAAGATATAGAAAAATGAACATATTTTTGAAAATTGATGTACAAGATAATGTGATTATCTAACACCAGGACTCATGTTCAGATTATCCAAAAAATACTTCACAAATGTGGCAAAGTAAACTTGTCTCACATGAAATTTTTATTGATGATAAAGGCAACACTAAGCTATCGAATGAGAGATCTCACGCCGTGAGATTTGTTATCTATGTTGAGATACCCTTGTGTGAATGAAAAACCTATGTTGACCTTCTAGCTTCTATGTATGAAGGTCGATCAAGTCCTGATTAGTCCTTGAGATCAAAGTTCAACATGCTCTATTTATGATCAAATTATGAGGCTAAAGGATAAAAGTTTAGATACTTTTTGTAACCGTTATATTTCGTGGACGAACTTGTTATTATGTTATTTTTATGGAAATAAATTAAGTGAATCACTGGAACTAGAATGATACATTAATAGGTCCGGTTTGGCCTGCAGATCAAGCCAGAAAAAAATGATCTGTTGACAACTCCGAAATATATGACATCTCTCATAGATGAACGGCGCTCAATAGTGAACACATTTTCAAAAGTTCCAAGGGTGTTCTTTTAAGAAAGGTCTTACTGTGTAAATAAAAAAAAAGATGTCCTAGATTTGAATTTATCATAACATATTCTCAAAATGAATTTTATTTCTTAATCAATTCATTTATTTCATCATAAAAGAAAAAGAAATTTCGAATGAAAAAACACTATTGTTTTTGTTTTTTTTTAAGTTGCGAAGAATTTCATTTTGTAAAAAGCCATTAATTCTTTATGAAAATTAAACTAACGTAATTTAAATGAAATATAAAGCAAATGTTTATTTGAATAAATAAATTAAGTAACAATTTGTATGTGTATATTTCTTTAAAATTAAAAATTTATATTGGGTGTTAATGGTTTATGGCGAGATACTTTTCCAAACCAAGACATTTTATAATCAAGTGTTTCACGAAGAAGACGTTCTTCATCGGCTGAAAAATTGAGCAATGTTGATACGGCACGAATGAGATGAATAGCCTTTAATTAAATTAATAAAATAAAAAAATTAAATTAAATTAAATTCATTGTTTTATAAAAATCTGTTTTTTTTCTTGTCTTTAATCTTACTTCATCTTCAGTTGAAGTCATAAATTTAAGCAAAACATGTTTAAGATATTTAAAATTTGTACCATTTAATGTAGTTTGTCCATCCATAGATGGATGATGTCCATTCATTTGTGATTTTGTTGAAGTTGATTCAACCGATGTATGTGGTAAAATTGCTGAACTTGTTGATGCAGTTGATGTTACTGGCGATGTAAATGTAACATTTTTACGTATTGCAGTCATTTGTCGTGCTGTTGATGCTCGTTTAGCCACATCAACATCACTTTGTGATGTTGCTGATGCATCGTAATGTATCAATGGAAGATTTGATGGTGATGATGGAGTAGCATTATTTGATTTTGATGATCCTATTTGATTAAGATCTTTAGGTATTGATGCATGAAATTCACGTTGAAGTGTTTTACGAAGATCATTATAACGTTGTTGTAAGTTTTTTATTGTCTAAATTATAAATTCATATATAGATCGTTTGATGTATGTTTTAAAAAAAATTACACATGAAAGAAAACCAGTTCAAACTGTAAAGAAACTATACTTATTGAAAAACTTATTATTTGGCATTTTCTTGATATTTATCTAATTAATGAATTATCGAACACGGAAAAATCTTACAATATACTAAACTATTTAATTTTAACAGAGAATATTGAACATTATCAAGTCTTAGCAAATTATTCGTTTGCTACTTCAAAACATTAGTATTCTCTATTGTTTTGTCATTTTCCCAAATCTTGAAGCTTTTGATGATCCAATAAATATGAAAACAAGTCTACCACCATTCAGATAATCGTTCAATAGATCGTCACAATTAGAAACATGACTGATTACAAATATGTATTTCACGAAAACCATATCAAAGACCTAGTATTTAGTTTGTCTTTCACATGAGCTATTCACTAACTTCTAATCATATACAAAAAATAGGACACAAGATCTATCTCAAACAATGGAAAGTTCAATAATGATTAATATCGTGTTTGGTTAATATGGAAGATATTAGTTATTTCTGGCACTTTTAGAGTTACATCAGTAGAATAATTGATCTCGACACATCTATCACTTGAAACAATACATATCATGAAATAAGACAAAGATTCAAAAAAAATACCTGCGCAACACGCTAATTCATGACAATCGAAGAAACGAAAATGCTTCTGAAATAATACATATAATGACTAGCAAAATTGTTTAACAAAGTTCATTTTCAATTTTTTTCTGCAATCTTAACCGCTAAAAAGAATATATAGTAATTCTAGTAAAGAAAATAGTTCCGAATAAGAAATAAAAATGATTCACAAAAACGAGATATTCAGAACAATAAAGTTTCAATTTTTCCACATCTAGAACACGCAAATATAACTCTGTTCAGACTACGTGAAACAATAGAGCAAATAATTCTCTACAAAATGAAATGTCTTCGAGATCCGTAAGATAATTTTTAGCTGAGATACAGGAACTTGATTGAAGATTCAACCAAGGTTTTTTCAAAGGAAGTAGTAAAAACGATAGACTTCAAGCGCTTCCGGAAAGTTGCTGTAATCCAATCACAAACGGTCGTACAGAACCCGAAGATGTCTCATTTCCTAGAAAATTGTTTGCTCTATCGTTTCATATAGATAGAACAAAGTTGTATTTATGCGTTCTAGATGTTGAAAAACTAGAGTTGTGATTTTTATTAAAACCTTATTGTTTGGAATCATTTTTTTAATATTCTTGTTGTACATAGTTTTCTCTGCTGAAGTTATTATTTGGATTTTTTTTTATCGTTTCAGATTGCAGAAAAACATTGCAAAATAAACTTTGATAAACAATTTTGAGGATTGCAAGAATTTTCGGCACGGGCTTAAACTGACCTGATTAACCTCTATAAAAAGCCTTATTTCTTCAATTAGTTGTTATATTCCGTAGTGCTGAGAAGGACGCTATAACTATAATAGGATCTAAATTCATACTACTTAGCATTACGGAACGTAGTAACTAATTAAATAAATAAGACTTTTTTTATAGGGGTTAATGAGGTCAATTTAAGTCCGAGTCAAAATTCCAACCGCTCGATTTTGATAACCTAATTCTCAGCTGATGCAATACAATTGTTAAGACTATTATACACAATAAAAAACATTGTTCACGAAATTTCTGCAGGACTAAAATGTGAAACACGATGTAGCTGCTGTTGTTAATCATATGAAGCCTGTTTTATTCAATCTATTTTGAGACACATTTCTTCACTATCCTTTTAGTTAATTCGCCAATAATGTTATAAGTAGTTCATATATTATAACGAGACATTATTGATATACAGTCTTTGATCGTATATCAATAACGTCTGTCACAATCTGTGACGCGAAGAAGAAGGAGTGTTGCTAAGGTGTCTGTCATGGTCTTTGAGAAGTGCGAATTTCTATCCCATATACTTCAGTATTTATTTCAGATCATGTTTCTACAAAATAGATTAATTACTATCGATCGAACTCTTTTATTTCCTTATATTTTATTGAATGTAATTGAATGATTTTGATATCTTACTCGATTTTTATCATCTAATTCGGCTTGTAATTTACTGATTGTATCCACATCTGGTTCAGCAAGTACTTCAACAAATGATTTATCTTCATCCTTTTAAAGTAATGATCAAAGAATATGTAAGAATTGTATATAAGAGACAAAAAAAAAACAGACTGTTTGTATTGCTTGTGTTTCATGATCAATTAATAAACGTTTATCTTGTTGTTCAATAACGGTGTCTCGTTCAATAAGAGCTTTTCTTAAATTTTGTAATTCAATATCATATCGTTCATTTTCAAATTTTTGTTTATCAAGTTGTTTTTGAAGATCATCATTAGGTTTTAAATTACATACATCAGTTGATTTTATAAGTAAATCATCTCTTTCTAACAGAAAAAGAAAATTTCATATTCAAAAAAAAAAAGAAAGAATATATAAAAGATTATTGATTATTAACAAACCTGCTTCAACATCACTTAATTGTGTTCGTAAGGATTTTATAGTTAATTTAAGATTTTCATTGTCTGAACGAAGAGCATCCATCTGTTTTTGTAAATAAGGCATCTTAAAGAAAAAAACAAATAAATAAATTCTATGATGAAAATAATCAAATGAATTTACTTTAGTAGTATTACCACTTGTATTTTTCTCTTTTAAGTTTCTAAAAAAAAAATTTTTATTATGAAATAAAATTTTAATTAAGAAAACATACTGTAAATCTATAAATTCACTTCTAAGTATTGTCATTTCATTTTGTAAATGAACTGTTTCTTGTATTAATCGTTCAATAGTATCATCTTTTTCTTTAAGCATTTCTTCTTTGGAATCGATCTGTAATAAAATAAACATAAGTTTTTTCTTTTGTTAACACTCAAGAATTAACTTTACCCATGTTTTAAGAATTCGTACATAATTCTCAATAGAAACTGGTTCTAATAAACAAAAAAAAATGTTGCACTAAATAAGAAATCATCATATTCATACCTTCAATATATGGAGAAAAAATATCCGATAAAGATTTTACCAATTCTTCTTTGTTCTCTAACTGAAAATACATCAATAAAATCAATAGAAAAAAAAAATTATTGGATAAAATTTCGAACTTCATTGGAAATTGAAGGTTTCACTTGGTTTCTTAACAATTGTTGTATATTTGAATCAGTTCGTCCTTTAAAATAAAATTAAAAAAAAATCATTGAATAAAAAAAAAATTATCCTATCACTTACGATGACTACGTGTAGACGAAGGATTTTCAATATCAAAACTGTTCTTATTATCTTTACTTAAATCTTCATTTATTTCATCGGAATTATTTTCCGGTAAAATACTCGGATTATTACTTTTTTCACGAACTTTCTTGATTAACGGTTTAAACATTATTACAGATTTCTTGATAAGGAATAATTATTCATACTGTACATGAAAAAGAATAATAATATCGTTTTACGTTCACTGCGAAAACAAATAACAAAACAAATGAGACAATCACTTGAATAAAAAAAGAAGTTAAGTATTTCTTTCGTTACATTCACCATCCAGTTAAAAGAACTAATCAATCCTTTAGCGGATTTTCAGTTGAAAAGAGGTCACTAAGTGACGATATTACATATATTGATGTTGACATTATACAACCCCTCCCCTTTTCCGATATTAAAATCACAATTTTTTTTTAGTCGCTAGTGTTTAATCGCTAATGTAGCTTCGAAATGTTCTCTGTCAAATGTCATATAACTGAGAGCTCTTTGCTGTTAGTTAGCGCTTTTATTAAATCCAACTCTCGAAACTCCTAGCAGGAAAACTCGAGCTGCGATTATTCTTTGTATGCAAAATTCTTCTAATGATAATGGTTATTTCTTATTCCAAATGGCATGAGAATATGGGTCATGGTCGTCTAACGTCGCCAGTTTTTGATTTGAGGCGATTGCTCCTTCGTTTCAAACTATTTTTCGATTTTTCTCAGCAGAAAACGTCCAAATGTGAGTCCTCTAATTGGACTTCAGCATACGTTTTGTGACTATGGTCGCCTCAATTACCTTTGAAATGCCTCGATTTGTCAAAATCCTAGATCTACTACTGATGATATGATTATATTTATTTATCTTTTCAATTAAAATATTATCCAGTAGAGTCCACTTCAAAACATTTAAGAAGGAAAAAAAGTATTATTTGATAGAATGAGGTTTTTTTTTATTAAACTATTGCTAACACAGATATCAACAGAAAAAAAAAACATTCAATTGAATTGCATTCGTTGTTTCTTTTTATTTAAACTATTTAATAAGAATAATGTCGATGAATATTCTCTACATAGTGATTATATTTTTCATGGATTAAAGAAAGTATTTATGTAGCTTTTTTTTTTCTATTCCTTCCTTTCGCTTTGCTTTTTTCATTGAAATAACAAAATTAACATTTGAAGATCGAATTTTTTTTGTCAAAGGAGAAAGAACAAGAAACATATATTACTATTTCGAATCTAATAAAGTTAAAATGTCGTTCAAGGCAAACACATCAATTACGTGGAATAAATATGGATTGCAATTACGATGGCCTTATATTTGGATAATTATACTTGGATTGATACTAATATTCCTTTGTTTAAGCATAGCTGGTATGGAAATCGGTCATACAATTTTCGATTTACGTCGATCAACAGCCTTTGGAGGTTTTATTGTTTTTATTCCTCTAATGATCTGTGCTATTTTCGTTTTGATTACTGGTAAGGTTAAATATTTACCTTCACAAATAAATGCCAAAAGAAAGTAATCAAAAATAAATAATAAAACAACTTTATATCTTTTGTCACTAATCAACGAGGAAACCTTGTTAGAATGATAATTATTGAAACCTAAGTTTAATGAAGTCAAAATTGTCATTGAGAAAAAACTCTAAAAGTTCTAATATTTATCTTTACCAATAGAGGGCGTCTGGAAAGTAGCTATCTATTTTAAATTCTTTTTTTTCTCTTTAATAAGAATAGATCTTGTGTTGTTACTTTTGTTTATTATTTTTGAAGCATGCTTCATGGGGTTTTGTTTTACATAAGAAAGAATGTTAATGAATTGACTATGTAAGATCAAACGCAAATTTCATTTGAAGAATGCTTGAAAAAATTACTTCTTATTTTTTATCATTACTTGTATACAAAGTAAATACGGTATAAGAATTTTTTCATGGTTTTGAAATGCAATACTGTCATGGCTATATTTGAGACATTATCGGGTAAACAAATTACACACACCTCACAATAGAAAAATATTATTACAATATATTCTATGTATAAAAGTAATAAATGATGGAAAATAAGAAGCTATTTTTTCAAAAATTCTTCAAATGAAATTTGCGTTTGATCTTACATAGTCAATTCATTAACATTCTTATGTAAAACGAAACCCCATGAAGCATACTTCAAAAATAATAAATAAAAGTAACACAAGATCTATTCTTATTAAAGAGAAAAAACGAATTTAAAATAGACACCTGCTTTCCAGACACCCTGTAGGTAGTGCAAACGTTTCTCATTAACTTTATTTCTTCTTCAGCTTAGTATAGAAGTATTGAAGAACAGAAATATTTTTTTTTTTGAAAGGTAACCCATGATATCTGTTACAAATGTTGTTTTGGAAGTGTTTCAATTAAACATAGTAGAATTGTCTAAAGTCTCAAAAATTTCTAACAAGATGGACCGTTGACATGCTTTAAGAGAAATATTCTAACACAGTTTTGTAGAGAATGATCACGGCTTTTTAATGTATATGATTATAATTGACAATATTTTTTAAAATCTTCTATAAATTCAACAATTTTGACACTAAAATCAATTAAAAGATTTTATTCATTGCAAAAAAAGATGGAATATACTAAAACGCTAATATACTATTTGATATATTTGCAATCGAGTTTTTTCATATGAAAGTTATTAATCATTAAAAAATTCGATTATTTTCAAATTATTGTAAAAGTAATTAAGTGAACTTTATGTACAATACGTTAGTAAGGAAAGTTGAATGTGTATGCTGATATATTTCTTGAAATTGCACAGAAATATTTTTACATTATGAAAGTCGAGAAGAAATATTTCGAAGGATAATTGAAAAGAACTAAAAACTAAAAGAGAAAAGTCTTCATCTTTTTAGCATGCAAGACACGTTTAATTATTCTTCGTATTACTGTAATATTATGTTGTATTATGATTATATTATGTATGATCTTAATAGCTTATGATATTCTTGTTCTTATTGACCCAACTCGGTGTTTCTTTTTCAACTGTAATGATGCTTCAGTTGATATATCTAATTCAACACATAATATAATCATAACTGGCTGGCCACTTTATATAACATGGCCCGGTTATTTTCAAACAAATATGAATGCAAAACGTATATTTCAAAGTATTCAAATACTTTGTGCTGGCTTATTTATTTTATTTGCATCTTTATATATATTAACGTATATTATTTATAGACATATTAGATTAAATCAACAACTTATTTCTAACACTGATCGTCGTATGTTTTCAACAAATGAAACAAAAAGAGTATTACCAACAAATGAAACAAAAAGAGTATTACCGACAAATGAAACAAATAGAGTATTACCAACAAATGAAACAAATAGAGTATTACCAACAAAATATTCCAATAATTTATCTCAATCATATCCACAATATAATCCTCATCATCAAGTTACAACATATACGATTGAAGGTCAACCATACACATCAGCACAATCTCATTATTCATCAGTAGCAGTACGACCTGCTACAACGACAACAACACCAAGAAAAACAGAAACCAAACCATTTGTAGGACCAAACGTTAGTTCAATTAACTATGACCAAGTATGTGCACGTTGTAATCAAGAACCTCAAATGATATTAACAACAAATTATGAACGAAAAAATTTCTTTCCATATTTATGCATCAATTGTAATAATGAAATTGTAAATCATCGTCGAAAACCACCATTTGTTCAATCAAAATATAGACCCATATGGAGACCTTAATTATTTTATATATACATATCTTATTTTTATA